AGAGGGGTCTTCACAGCCCTGGCCGCCAGAGGGGTCTTCACTGCCCTGGCCACCCGAGGGGTCTTCACTGCCCTGGCCGCTCGAGGGGTCTTCACTGCCCTGGCCGCCAGAGGGGTCTTCACTGCCCTGGCCGCCTGAGGGGTCTTCACCACCCTGGCCGCCAGAGGGGTCTTCACTGCCCTGGCCGCCTGAGGGGTCTTCACCACCCTGGCCGCCCGAGGGGTCTTCACTGCCCTGGCCGCCAGAGGGGTCTTCACTGCCCTGGGCACCAGAGGGATCTTCACCACCCTGGCAACCAGAGGGGTCTTCACTGCCCTGGCCGCCAGAGGGGTCTTCACAGCCCTGGCCGCCAGAGGGGTCTTCACTGCCCTGGCCGCCCGAGGGGTCTTCACTGCCCTGGCCGCTCGAGGGGTCTTCACTGCCCTGGCCGCCAGAGGGGTCTTCACTGCCCTGGCCGCCAGAGGGGTCTTCACTGCCCTGGCCGCCCGAGGGGTCTTCACCACCCTGGCCGCCCGAGGGGTCTTCACTGCCCTGGCCGCCAGAGGGGTCTTCACTGCCCTGGCCGCCCGAGGGGTCTTCACTGCCCTGGCCGCCAGAGGGGTCTTCACTGCCCTGGCCGCCAGAGGGGTCTTCACTGCCCTGGCCGCCCGAGGGGTCTTCACTGCTCTGGGTCGTCTGTTTCGCCATGGCCACCCATCTGATTCACCTTGGTTACTGGCTAAACCATCACCCCCTATTTCCGTTCCCTTCCATGGTCCTGGCCCTCCATCCTTGGTCCTTGATCCTCCACCGTTCCACCTCCCTCCTGGACTTTTGTTGGGTTTTGTTTCTTGCCTTGGAGCGTCTGGTAGCCGCTCCGTAGAGGGGAGGTTATGTCACAGTGTTTGGTTTGTATTTCCCTGAATGTCCACTTGAGGTCTCTTCCCCTTACTTCACCAGTCACTCTGGAACTGCATTCCCCACAATCCTTGTTGTGCCAATCGTCTGTTGACACTCAGCTGTTCCCCGTCATCTTTGTACCTAGCGGTTCCCTGTTGTTCATTGTTGGTTCTGTGTATTTATATCATGTCTGTGTCAGTGTTCGTCATGGAGTTCTTGTTAGATGTCAAATCACTTCCTGTTTAGTTTCTTGCCTGTTCATTTTTTGTTCTTGTTTTTGGACTGCTTTAATTGTTTGGATTTAACCCATGCCTGACTGACTACGATTTTGGATTACCCTTTAATTAAAACTACTGAATTAAGATTCTCTGCTTTAAGTGGGTGATTTGTGACAACAATAAATAAATGTAATTATTACTATCATATTCTGAGAATCATCTACACACAAATGCAATAACAATGATTAACACTCAAGTCTAGTCTGCATCCTCAACAGTAATACTAGATTTATCAATACAAATAATCATGATTAATGGTAAAACTTTATCTCGATAGTCCACTTTAGACATTCTACTAACTGTAAGTAACTTTTCAACTACATGTCAATTAACTCTCATTAGAGTATTAGTAGATAGTCTGCTAATATCTACTAACACTTTATTTTGTTGGTCCCCCAACAGGCATTGCCCTGACTATAAGTAACTTGGCGACTACAAGTAAACTTGTTCTCCTAACTAAAGCCTAACACCTAACCATAACCTAACAGTCTACTGACAGTCTACTAATACTCTAATGAGAGCTATTTGACATGTACAGTAGTTTAATAGTTACTTATAATTAGTAGAACGTCTAAAGTGTAACCTGATAAATTGTACAACGGTACATTACTAATGTAAACACATAGGTTACACAGTTTAGAAAACTGCCAATGCTAATACTGATTAGTGCGTCTCTCTGGTGGCAAATTACGGCTGCTACGGCACTCTAAACTCGCCGATGGTAACCGCAAAACGATCGCAGGACATCAATAACATACATTGTGCTTTAGATTGTGTGTGCTTGCAGTGTTTGAGGCAGGCAGCCTTGTTGCCGCGTTCGATTCCCTTATAGCAGTCTGCTGAGAGAGAGCGAGTAGGGTGAGCCCCGTGGGGATTAACATGTCTGTGAGTGAATTTCGGCGCGGGACAAGCGGGCACGTTTACTGCACTGAAAACACTGTCGGCCCAAGCTGACTGTAACTTATGTGTGTTGGTTTCATTTTACAGAAACCGTGGGATATGTGGTGTGTAGTGTTTGTGGGCACTGAGTCGTGGGCACATTCACTACATTTAATGTAACGATACATTTGACATGAGTCGATTTTATTTGTGCGAGCCCTGCACTGTGGCGGGCTGTGTTTGTGTGTAGAAATTAGGCTGTGGGCATTTTATTACACTCATAACACCATCGGCTGTGGCCGGAATACTAGAAAATACTACACTACTAATATGATTTATCTGGGTCAACTTGGAAACGGCATTTGTGTGCAGGCAACAAGCAGCAACATTCTAATCTGAAAGATGAAGCCTACCCGGAATTGCGATAATCTCAAATCCGCTAGAGGCCGGTCCCAAAAGGGAGCAAATATCCATAGACGTCATGTTATAATGTCCGTTTTCACAACATAAATTCATATGTTTACAGTTTGGTCCCATGGACTTTTATTGTAATCTTCAATATGTTCCGCGTGCCTGACAACTGTGAGGGGGGTGAATTTTTTTCTAACTCGTTAGTTTAGATCACAGTTAGATATATAACATATGACAAATAAGGGCGGTTAACTTTGATTGACAGCTAAAAACGGGCTGCACCGAGTGAATTTGACGTCTCGGTCATGATCTGACACAACACATCATACCACCTCTGTATCCTTTCTGAAACTTTTGTATTTTGTATTTTCCAAGATTTTCCAGTATGGCGCCGCCCATACCCCCCATAAACAGCTTCAAACCCGTTCTTCAGAGAGTCTATGGGTGACGTCACAGACACTTTGTCCATATTTTTTACAGTCTATGACAGGCAAGCATCAGCATTGGTCGGGCAACCTTCCTCCTCCTTTAGCTCATGCCAGTGAGCGAAAGCTGGACCAATGTTGATCCTTGTCCTGGCTTTTCATTTGTCACTCTCCCTTTTTCTATTTTTTAGTGTCCTCTGACAAAACCTTTGCCTTCTTCCTTGTAGCTGTTGGTTCGGCCATGACGAAAACATACAGACGGCAATCAAACACGAGTTGAGCACTCACGTCAGAATCTGAGGAAGTTGGGGGTGGTGGGGGAAGTGACGTATGCCGTGAAGCGGTCGAAATTTTGTAGTTCTGTTTGTGCTCGGGTTCCTACCCAAAACCTGAAGTTACATAGTGCTAGTAAAAGCGATACAGCCACCTTCAGGCTACGGCAGACGTGTCATTTAACCTATTGTGAGTCGATGTACCATCTCAATGGGTTTTGGTAATATATTATAAAGGTTGAAAAGTTCCACAGTGTGCCTTTAAACTGACATGGCTTTAAAACAATGCAAATAATAACTAACAACGACGAAGAACTGCAATCTCACGTGAGACAATTTGTGCGTTTTTGACAGAGTATCCAAAGGATGTGCTTTAAAAGCACATCACTTCTCTGGATAGGGGGATGGGGAGCAGCAGCTCATTTGCATTTAAAGATACATGCACGAAAACAACATGTTTTGCTTTAAAGGTGCCCTCTGGGATAAAAAATCAAATCATACACCATATTCCATACCAGATGGGGTCAGTATACCTCCAGAAAAATACCTCCGCGGCCGCGTTCAAACAACACGGGCGAGCGGGTCTCCCTCGCGCATATTAATCAGTAAAACTAAAAGTAAAAGGTTGGAAGACCGCAGTTTCACGTGGATCATTTCAGAGAGAGATTAGAGACTAAATGAACAACATCTCAATACTAAATTATAAAGGCCATCTCATAGACAAGCCGGTGCATTTCGACGATATGGGAAAATTAAAGCCCAGGCATTTTTAGTTTATGGTATTCGTTTTGTTCATGTTACATTTTTATCATTAGTTTGAATTAATTTGACAGACAGCATTTCCTGATGTGGACCAAGCTAGCGTCTTTCAGAGCTGCCAACTCTCACAAATTCACCGTGAGACACACAACTTTTCACACACTCTCACGCCAAATCCATTTTGTCATGCACAGAAAAGGACACAGAGACCGATCTCAGCTCTCAGATTCTGTTCATTTTATTACGCAATTCAAACAATAAATGCAGTTTTGGCACTAGACGACAGATCCCTAGCGCACGTGAACCGATCATCTCTACTAGCTAATGGTAAAAGAACACGAACACTGTTGAAAGATACAGTATACTACAACTTACCAAAATGTATTCCTCATGCATAATATCGACCAATTATTTATTTAACTCATCCCTGAACTGAAATTTAGTAGCGGGCTGTATTTCCACACGACATCACGACATGACATCAGGTTCAAGTACACACAAGCCGGCGCGAGCGCGACTTACTCGTGTTACTGCAGTTTGGCTGGTGGTAACGTTGCCCGCCCGCATACCGCCTCCCATGGCTGAAACTGGTATCACGACACCTGCCGGGCCGGGGCTAATAATTTAGCATGCTAATTTAGGTTATATCTCGGCAGCACTATAACTTGCCAGTTTTTTAATGACATCATTGCACTTATTTCTTCTCATTCTTTTGATGTGTGTAGCTCATTTTTTGGATATTTTTACCTCAATTATTCCATATGGCACCTTTAACTCAAAAATGGCCATTTACAAAATAGTGTAATAAATCTATGGGATGTTTTGAACAGAAACTTCACAGACACATTCTGGGAAGAGCTGAGACTTATATTACATCTTGTAAAGGGGGGGCATAATATGTCTTCTTTATTCATATTTCCATCTCAAGTCTGACATACGAAAGAGCAACTGTGTTAAACCTATAAGAAATAATAATCCTTTTTTCCCTCCTGTCTCAGAGCGCCAGTGTGTAACAGGTTGTTTTTAGGATGAATGTCTGAGAGCAAACACACTGCAGGGTCATGAGGTAGTGCTGTTCCTTTAACAACACAGCTCACTTCCCGCCCCACCCTGAGCTCCTGTACTAAAGTTTGACACAGACCCTCCACCGCTGCATGTTAGGACAGAAGAAGCTGTTCTCATTCCCACAGTCTGTTGGACTTTGAGTGTAGATTTTCTGTCCATATCCACATACCTATCAACAATCACTTCAGGTAAGAAGCTCTTCACGGTGTATTATTTTATCCCCTGCATGCTATTTCCGCTTCTCTTGTGCAATGGCTCTGCAATTTTTTGTGCAGCTCATGAGGCTTTTTGAGGTTTTGGTTACCAGAAATTCTTTAAATTCTTTCCACCTCATCAGAACTGTTCGGTTTTGTTGAGCTGACAAAATTCCTGGCAGAGAAGATGCAACTTTTGTGAACCTACTTATATAAGTCCAATTCTTCTCTTTCACAGTTACAAACTACCTTTTCTAACCTGAAATCAGGAATGTGACTTGCCTAGTCTTGTTTTCTAGAATAACTATACTTTAAAAATCATTCAGTCTGAGAAGGAACAATTTGACCAAGATTCTCAAAAAGAAGACCTAGACTTTTAACAGAGCTTTCATTAAAAAACCCTTGTGCTATGTTGAAAATCCTTTACCTAATTTGGTGTTCTTGGTCTTTTAAGATGATGGTTAATCTCACATTATTATCAACAAATATGGGATTCAATATTTCTGTCAACTTGTTTTCTTTCAGTTAGCACAGCTTATTTCTTTTGGTAACTGATTGATGGTAGCTTGTAGGCCTATTAACATAGAGCTTATGCCACTTTAAAAAGTTCATTCAAGCGTATCCCCCCCAAAAAAACTGAATTGCATAAGCTCAGACCAACGAGCCCAACTATCAATAAGTTGCAAAAAGAAAAAAACAAAACCTGTGGTAAATGAAAAAAAAAAGTAGATAATTAAAAATCTGAATACAATACAATAACATAGCATAATGAAAGATTTATATCCAAGTTGTTGTAACAAGGTGGGACAAGCGAGTGTAACAATGTGGGAAAATATACATTTTTTAAAGTTCGAGCATAATTGTTATACGTTGTGTGAGAAATTAAGTGAGTTTTATTCCAATGTGCTAATATTAACTACCATTATAACATTTCACATGTAACTCAATGTGTCTAGGATCAGTTGTCTCTGTAATAAATAGTACATTGCAGCAAAACATATTTGGCCAACGATCCAGTAAAAAAAAAATATTGAAAAAAAAAATGAATTAAAAAAATATTTTCCAGATTTGTTATCACAACATATTTTCTTTTGTCAAATCAACTTTATAATAATTTATTTAGTTGAGATAACTTATTATTTTGAGTTTCTGATGATTAAATTAATCTCCTTCATTGTGTTAACTCACTTTTTCCAGTTCAATCAACTTAAAATTTTAAGGCAACCCAGGTTACTTACTTTTTTAAGTTAAAACTACAATATTTTTTTACAGTGTGCGTATCTGCTTTTGCGCTCTGGAGGACGCCAATAGTTTCTAATTACAGCACATTTTTGAAGTGTTGAGCAATGTAGCCAATCACAAACATATCTGTTGACTACTTGAATGCAATGCCAATCAGAGGTGAACAAAAACTAAGGGGATAAGGGGATTCTGAGTTGTGGTTTCTAAGAGATTCATTGTGCAGTCAGCTTCATTTATTGTACTAGAACTTTGTGAGATCACAATGATCTAAGCGCTCTTTGCACGCTTTCTGCCATGCCAATCCCACATACAGTATGGATGCTTTTCTGTTCAAATGAACAGTGGTTTGTAATGGTCTTGTAACAAATAATTTATCAGGAGTGTTTACGCTGGGATGTGTTTTGCGGTGAGGTGTAACTGAAACTATTTTAAGGAAATATAAATATATTTTGAAAGGGGAAGCGCAACTCCTATCTTTATCCTGGAGTTAGTTCACCCACCACCTATGGCCCAATAGTTGTGTGTTTTTGTAAAATATTGCTGTTTCTTTTGGTAGGTTGGAGTTTAGACCTTATCTGGGTTCATGACTTTTGTTGGCAAGCTTGGAGACATGACCTTGGCTTTCCTCATATGTAAATGAAACTAATGCAGCACAGTGCGGATTAGCCATCCAGAAAACTCTGAGAATTCGGATATCACACGAAGTGTAATGTAGATTAAATCAGATTCAGCTAGACCACTGGCTAAAACTATTTCACAGAATTATCATAATACTGTCAAATGTCCACAAATCTGGCTTTGTTTATAGTCTGGCCAATTTGAAAGTTTATGACCTTCTGATGCACCATGAGAAAAGCATGTAGTTTTGCAATAGGAAGGAAATGGCCATAAGAGAGCATTCAGTCTCTGTATTACTCTACTAGAGAACGTCATCAGAATGTGCGGCTGTGTGTCATTTCCTCACATCCTTGACAACCCAACATGTTTGGAGTCAGGGGCCGGAGTTAGTGTTTAGACTGGAGACATCAGAACTATGCAGGAATGTCTCGATTACAACCAACAAGCCCTTTTATGGCCAAAATCTATCAGACCTTTCTAAGGAATTACAGAAGGCCGAGCCTGTTCTCATCCTTTGGTGTCATATAGGTGACGCCGTATGACATTTCGTCGAAAAACTACGCACATGGCACCCTTTAGTGTCAATATAACACGGAGAACCCAAGGCGTCATACAGGTGATTGGCATCCTTTAGCATCAATATGAGACGTAGACCCTACCCCAGACCTAAACCTACCCATAACAATGCATGTTATTTTGACACTAAAGGGTGCCATATGCGTTGTATTTTGACAAAATGTCATATGGCGTCACCTATATGACGCCAAAGGATGAAAATGTGTTGGAAGATTAGAGGCACATCACTGTCAATCTATAGGCATGTTGGAAACATAACACTTATCATGCTTTGTTTTGTGTCGCTGTCTCAATGTAGGCTCTGAATAAAAGTTATGACTGCTGCGTATTTACACTTAAATCAATCCAGATCTGCTCTTCACTAGAATGTAATAATAAAGGCATCCACTCTGCTCAGATTTTGATAGTTGACCGATAAATAAAACAGGCAGTGTGCCAAAGATGTAGGCGATTGGGAAGTTGTGGGTGCAGATGTGAAGTAAATATGAACACTTATAAGATAAAGTAGTGTTTCATGTGTAGGTTGCTGAATTTACGCCTACACATAAGAAAGCCTTTCTGTGCAGTTAGTTTGTGTTGTTAGTTTAGTTATGTGATAAGAAAGAATTGCAATAAAAGATTTAAAGGAGTAGTTCACTTAAAAAAAAAAAAAAAAACTTTTGCTGATAATTTACTCACCCCCATGTCATCCAAGATGTCCATGTCTTTCTTTCTTCAGTCGAAAAGAAATGAAGGTTTTTGATGAAAACATTCCAGGATTTTTCTCCATATAATGGACTTCAGTGGGAGCCAAACGGTTCAAGGTCGAAAAGACAGTTTCAGTGCAAACTGCAAACTGTTCAAAGGGCTTTAAATGATTCCAGATGATCAATAAGGGTCTTATCAAGCGAAACACCATTCATTTAAAAAAAAAAAAACAAAGTTTAAGTTTTATAAGCTCAAATGCTCGCCTTGCTCTGTTCTGTGATGTGCGTTCGTGACTCTCCTGTTCAAACTCGTTCATAAAAATGAACAAATCTTTTTCCGAGTCAATTAGTTCATTTCGTTCGTTGAATCAACCAAATGTCATGATTCACGAAAAAAAGATTTGTTCATTTTGATGAACGAGTTCGAACAGGAGAGTCACTAACCATTTGAGCTTATAAAACTTAAACTTTGTCATTTTTTTAAAATGAGCGATCTTTTCGTTTGATAAGACCATGAGCCAGGTCAGGTTCAATCTATATTCCCAGTTCCCACCCACATGAGATCGAATATATTCAGGGCCTTTCCAAATACCCACACTTGCGTTCTTGGCCACTTGAAAGCATGTGCACGAGACAGGAAGTAAGTGTGCAAGACTGTCCCATGTCTAAAAAATACCAAAGTGCAGTGGCTTTAATGAACACTAGCTTGAAAACCGCATCGAAGCAATATTCAAAGCTAAGCGTGGGGGGATCAGAGGTCAGTTGTGATCTGATAAAGCCCATAAAGGGGCATGGTGAAGGTCAAGCTGTACCTTGGAGTCACAACAAGTATTTGCTTTTGAAAGTCCAAATGTGCTTTTAAAGCTGCCCTGTTTCAGATTTCAGACCCACATACCTTAATAATCTCAATGCCTTTTTGGCATGATATTTCTCTTCTGTGGTCTGACATCACTTTTATGCAAAGTTATCTTTTTTTTTCAATGCTAAATTCCATCTATAATTACATACAAATATAGTAAGCAGAACTTAAGGACTTAAATGGCTTTATGTGCAGCTGCACTACTTCCTGAACTTCAGCCAGCTCCTTTGTTTCCTGTCTGCCATTATTGGACAAACGGATTAATCCAGGTGTGCCTGACCTCACTAGTCACAACAACAATAATCAGACACACCTGGATTAATCAGTTTGTCCAATAATGGCAGACAGGAAACAAAGGTGCTGGCTGAAGTTCAGGAAGTAGTGCAGCTGCGCATAAAGCCCATTGTTTTTAGCTTTGAAAGCATGAGATCCCACCCTCCCTTCAGAGCATCTCTAAAGCCACGCCTCCTCCAAAACACATGAACACACAGCAGATTCTGAAAAGCCTCACGAGAGACTGCGTTAAACTACATCATGTCTCAAAGCATGTAACATTACAATAATAATGAACATAAACAACTTAAACAGCACTGACCTGTAAAACTTGACTGCTGCCGATTCATTTCAGCGTTGATCGTCTTGACATATAAATGCATAAATCCAAGCCTGAGGATGTGAACAGCTCCGGGAAGAAGTCATCACATAAATATGGTTATGACATGGCGTGAACGCAGCACAAGCTTGTTGTTTTGGTTCAGGTCCCCTGAACCAAAAAGTAGGTGATTTCAGGACACATGTTGTGAGCTACTCTGCGGTGTTTGTTTCAGGATGCCTCTTGGGGGTGGAAACAAATGTGGCTGCTGCCAGAAAACAGTGTACTTTGCAGAGGAAGTGCAGTGTGAAGGACGGAGCTTCCACAGATCCTGTTTCCTGTGCAGTAAGTCCTGTTCTTTTCCCTGTGTCCAGTGCCTTGACTCGAGTCCACACAGGTTCAGTAGATCAGCTTGTTTAACAAAGTTTACCGAAGGCATTCTTAAAGGAGCTGTATGTAAGAAGTGTATTTCAAATAATAAACTGCCCCTGATATGTCAGACTGATCTCATGAAGTAGCGTGTGTATGCCACGCCAATTCGTATTTCCATTTTTGGCGTGCTATCAAGACGCATAATCGCCTTTCAGCGTGTTCATGAACGCCGTTGACTTAAAGTTATATAAATATATGACTAACCTCAACCCCGTCCCTAAACCTAACCGTCACTGGGATTAATGGCATTTATGACTGTTCCCCTACCATCCTAGGTAAAAAAAAGATATGACTTACCTCAACCCCATCCCTAAACTTAACCGTCACTGGGGTTAATGGCATTTATGACTGGAGATTTGACTGCGTGTACAGACACGCGGAATGACGCGGACGTTAATGGCGTAGACATACACGCATACACGCGGATACACGCGGATAGCTCAAAACGCCACCTGACTCGAAAGTGGCGTGCATGTTTACGCAAAAGTCATGATGTCATGTTGGATATGTTACTAAACATTAAGAAATCATGTTCATTTCTTCTGCTTATATCACTGACAACAGTAGTCCGGCCAGGATGTTGTCATTTAAAAATCGAAGTTGCAGCCCTCAACTGTCATGTTGTGTTTTGGTCTGATGCTCCGCCCTCCACCAATCTACCAATCACAAAGTCAGTAGTGTTGTAGCATCCGGGTTGCCAGCTCTGCTCTAGTTACCACGGCTGCAGATACAGACGTGTCAGATAAAAAAAAAAACCTGTTGGATCCTGCAGCATATCTGGCAACCTCGAGTCAGGGGGGAGGGGATACATCGCTCTACGGTAATTTGAAAGTGATTCCAGTCTCAGTTCTGGCCACAATGTTACATACGGCTCCTTTAATACATCACTTCGTCACTGCCTGATGAAACTCACGTTTGTTCAAAACGGTTACTTTTCAGGAAGTGAAAAAAACACGTAATTTCAAAAGCAGCTGAACGTAACGTTGTCATGCTTGGTACAACATCTTTAAATGTAACCATATTCTTGCCAGTGTCATGATATAATCCACATTTGACCCAAAATCGAGTTTAAATGGACATACGTGCATATTGTGTACAGTAACGGTGGTCGATACGCGTTCTTCCGATCATTAATTAGAATGACCAAATCGCGTTTCATATTGACAGATGAATACCCAGATAGCAAACTGACATTGAATCAACGTGGAAATATGACATCGAAACAACGTTGATCTGACATTGTTTTGCTCATCGAATTAACGTTGAACCAACGTCAGACGCGTCATTCTTTCAAAACTAGCGGAAAATCAACTTGAAATCAACGTGTTGTTTCAACGTTATGAAAGCAAACCAATTTTCGATTTTCATTTAGCTTTGAAGAATGCCGCGTCTGACGTTGGTTCAACGTTAATTCGATGAGCAAAATCAACGTTGTTTCAATGTCATGAGAGACGTCGTTTCCACGTTGATTCAATGTCAGTTTGCTGTCTGGGTAGGCTACGCTCAGTTTATCAAATACGCTCAGTTTATTAAATGTCTCTTGCAAACTATGAAGAGACAATGAATCAATACACTGACATGGCGATGCTAGACTGATACTTTTGTTTACACAATTCTACCGTAATTTTGCCACTCCACTCCACTATGTCTGGCATAAGGGGGAAACGTTTACCTCGATAAAGTTAGGCCTACTGTAAAGGAAAGTCTTGAGAACAGTTGTCAAAAACAAAAGTTTGATGATACTTTACCTCACAGTGTTATCCGGCAATCTAATGCTGAGCTTTCAGAGATGAAACTTCACGAGATCGGCGAGATGCCTCCACAGGGCGGGGAGATACGCTGCGTGATTGACCGCTTTGACAGCAAATGGATATACGTGGAAATCAGATGACATGATGTCACAACTTTTCATTGGTCATTTAGATAATGTGAAGCATGCTGTATACGAAAATAAACCTGGACATTATATCCGTCAAAAAATCAAAAAATCGGCAAAATGGACATACGCGGTTTTCATCGGACAGCGACGATTTGTCTGTTGATAATTATCATCTTTTGTACAATAGAAGGCACAACACATTGTGCTAAAATGAAAAATCTATGCCTGAATGCTTTGAAAGCTGTGCTGAAAGAACAAACTGACACACTTTGGTTGTTTCATAGTGTACACACCAATAAAATGTTTGGTTTTTGTTAAAGGAGAAGTACTTTTGTGTGTGTGAAACAGCAGTACACCAATATAGGAACACATCCATGTCATAAAATTGCCTTGATATCACAGACTGTTTTGTTGCAAGGGAGAATAAAGAAGGGATAGTTCACCCAAAAATGAAAATTCTGTCATTAATTACTTCTCTCATGTCGTCCCAAACCCGTAAGACTTTCTCTCATCTTTGGAACACAATTGAAGATCTTGAAACTGGTACAGTAGTTGCATAGGCTGTCATTGAGGAGACAGAACGCTCTCAGATTCCATCAAAAAGATCTATATTCGTTCTGAAGATGAAAGAAGGTTTGGAAAGACATAAGGGCGAGTAATTAAAGGAGTAGTTCACTTTTAGTAAAAACTTTTGCTGATAATTTACTCACCCCCATGTCTTCCAAGATGTCCATGTCTTTCTTTCTTCAGTCAAAAAGAAATTAAGGTTTTTGATGAAAACATTCCAGGATTTTCTCCATATAATGGACTTCAATGGGAACCAAACGGTTCAAGGTCCGAAAGACAGTTTCAGTGCAAACTGCAAACTGTTCAAAGGACTTTAAACAATTCCAGACGATAAATAAGGGTCTTATTCAAGCGAAACGATCGCTCATCATTGACTCGTCATGACTCGAAAGGTCCTAGATAAGACCCTTATTCATCGTCTGGAATCATTTAAAGCCCTTTGAACAGTTTGCAGTGAAACTGTCATTTGGACCTTGAACCGTTTGGTTCCCAATGAAGTCCATTATATGGAGAAAATCCTGGAATGTTTTCATCAAAAACCTTAATTTCTTTTTGACTGAAGAAAGAAAGACACGGACTTCTTGGATGACATGGGGGTGAGTAAATTATCAGCAAAATTTTTTTTTTTAATTGAACTACTCCTTTATTGACAGCAGGTGAACCATCCCCTTTAACATCTAGCTAAATTCATTACCATTCATTAATTCATTATTATTTATTTTTTTCCCTTACATTTAAAATATAATACATCTGATTTGGGTGAAACTACTTCTAATTCTGGATAGTATGTGAATCAGGTAGGTGGTACAAGCAGTATTTGTCCAACAGTTTCAGACTACTATGTGAAGTAAAGGCTGTTTCTTGGCGCCCTCTTCTGTTCATTTTAAGCCACTATATGAGGTTTAATATTACCCTGCATTGGGCCCTCAAAGGAATCTGCATTCCAGACAGACTGTCGGCAGGGGAGGACGAAACTCAAAGGCCTTTTAATAAAAAACTCAATCACAGGACCCTGCCAAGGAGTTAGAGACAAAGCTGTAGGATTGCAAAATTCACAAAACTAACACAGTATTATAGCCTCTATCGATCTACTCTGTCAATGTATCAGAAGAAAGCAATTGTACAATTATTGTCTAATATAAAACACAACATATTCATAGTTTCTCATCTAAGAAATATATATCTTTCTAACAATCATATATGATATCCTCCCACTCAACACACTTGATCTACTAAATTGCCTAAAGCAACAGTAACTCATTGTCATTTCACTCATTGTCATTTCAGTGGTGTGCAGGAAAAATCTAGACAGCACTACCGTGGCCGTCCATGAGGATGAGATCTACTGCAAGGCCTGTTACGGCAAAAAATACGGGCCCAAAGGCTACGGCTACGGCGCTGGTGCAGGAACTCTGAGCATGGACAAAGGAGAGTCGCTGGGCATTAAAGCCGAGGAGTGAGAAAAATACACCTGCTTTGCATTTTGATTCTTAAATATCACTTCATATTTGATTCTAGTCTTGCAAGACCAGACTTTTGACTATCAGAGTGTACGGTTTTTCTGGCCAAGATCCGCTCACTGTACGAAGCAACCCACTACTTTATACGTCTTGAATGCTCTGCTATGAATGCATCCAAGCTGCTCTTTCAATGATTTGGAATATAGCACACAAGTTATAAAGGCCACTTATAATATTATAATATCGTTTTTTTGCCCTTTTTGTTTAGCTTGACAGCTCTTGGTCCCTTTCCGCTTTCATTGAATGGAAAAGAGCAGCATGAACGTTCTTCAAAACAACTTATTTTGTGTTTTGTTAAATCACGGAATTTAAATTTTGTGGGGAATCACTGTCAATGTTCATCCTCTGATTGGTGTGTACTGTGTCTCTTGAATGCAGGCCTCAAGAGCACCGGCCCACCAATAACCCCAACACATCCAAGTTTGCTCAAAAGTTCGGCAGCTCTGATGTTTGTCCACGGTGTAGCAAGGCCGTCTACGCGGCTGAAAAAGTCATAGGGGCAGGAAATGTAAGCCGAAAGCAGAAGCGGCGGGAGGAAATGCTGTGGTGGCGCACCAAAATTAAATAAGCCACCATTTACGGTTCTGTAAGCTTTGGACATGGTCTTCATTGAGCGACTGTTGTGTTCCTTCCTCTGCAGGCATGGCACAAGGGTTGTTTCCGGTGTGCGAAATGTGGAAAGGGGCTGGAATCCACAACTTTAGCTGACAAGGATGGAGAAATCTTCTGCAAAGGCAGAGTATCCAATCTTATCCTGTCTCTTTTTAGCGGTTCTTGCCAAGCAACCACCTAGAAACCACACAGAACACCCTAACAAGGGCATGACGCACTAAAAAAATGTTCAGAAAATGTTGGCAAATTGCATCGAGAGAAGGGCTTGGTTGCCAAAATCTTCTTTTTAAAGAACCGATATCGATTCTTCCTCTGATCAATCTTTCAGTCTTTACTGTTTTCAGGTGATGCATGAACAAAACTTGATTGAAAATGACACTGTAGAGCACCTCCCTTCCAAAAATCGCAGTAAGCGTTGTGCTTTGTTACTTTTAATACGTAACAAAGTCTCAGCATTCACATTTTTGGAGTTTTATCACATCATTCAAATAATAAATGCCATTTTGGCGTGCTTTAATGTCACTGTTGGTGCCACGGTTCAAGCGAAACGGATCGTCTATTCCTCTTTACCTCTAGTTATAGCACAAAACAAACATGAATAAACATCAGAAGGTATGTTGAACGATAAAGAACTTACTGAAATATATACTGTCTCATGTAATTGCTCAGTGTTTCAAACGCAGATTTATAATCATCAAAAAAACAGCATAACATTGTCTAGTAGATACATTTCCCTCAGGAAAGCCAGTTTTTGTCCATAAAGACAAACTAACTCTAGAGAGGAGAATTTATAAATAAATGCAGTATATTACATTTTCAATATATTTTTAATCTGTGAGAGATGTCTCCTTGATGAATAAATCTCATGAGTAGAAATTATTTTCGAACAAAAGTTGACTAAAAAACCCTGCCAGTAACGCTTTAGATTACAGCCCCGGAAAGTACTAATTAAGAGGAATTTACAGAGTAACTTTCGATAATTATAGTGTACCTATAAAGTACTTGTAAGTAAGTATAAGGGAACAATACAGTATGTAAAGTTTGGGGAATAAAGAGGCGACAACCAGGAGAAATAAAAAAATATTTATACTGTAAGTATTATTGAACTAAGGGAATCTTCAACGCATTCTCATCCTTTAACGTCATATAGAGCGCTATATGACAAAACGGCGCTATACTACGCACATGGCACCCGTTATCGTTAATATAACACGTGTTGTGAGGGCTAAGTTTAGGTGTGGGGTAGGGTGTGCGTGTCATATTCACGCTAAAGGATTTATAACGTCTTGGGTTCGCGTGTTATATTAACGATAAAGGGTGCCATGTGCGTAGTACAGCGCCGTTTTTGCATATAGCGTTCTATATGACGTTAAAGGATGAGAACGGGCTGGGATCTTATTACAACAATCTTACATGTGGGAGCAATTTAGCAGGAACACTCACTGCATACCTTTTTGTAATAATTGTGTACCAATACGTACTGTATAGTTTTTTTTTTATTACAGGGTACATATCTGCATTTATACTTTTTTTTTTTTTTTTTTTTGTGCAAAAGTGCAGATATTTAAGTTTGGGCTAACATGTTTCAAGGCAAGAAAAGCTAACTCTATTGCAATTTTTTTAAATACTGGGAAATATATCTTGTTTCATGTGGTTACATGGTAAGTGGTGCTTGTATAATAAATAAAGGTTTCCGAGTGAGTGATATAAGAATGTTTGTATGGATTTTTATTTTATTGTACTTACCCAGTAACTACATGGAACAAGAGGGTAACAAGCACCACTACAACAAGAGTATCTTTCCCCAATATTTAAACAAAAGTTGCAATAGTTTTCGTTTTCAGTGCACTTTCGTTAAAAAGATTACTTTATAAATGCATAGATATGTACCCTGTAATTTTTAAAAGCCTATACAGTATGTGGTTCACCATTATTTCAAAAAGGTACACAGTGTATGTTCTTGCTAAATCGTTCTAAAAAAACGTTAGCGTTATCTAAAGCGTTAGCGAACTGCCTCAGGTACAATTTAAATGTATACAACTCAATTTCTATTAGTAGAAAACCTGTAGTATTTTCGAATTACCGTGCTTTCCACCCTCATATCCCCCTGAGATGAGAGATTTATGTTTGTTTGTTTTTTTGTCTGGAAAAAAATTATCTGATGACGCAAAAATCGTCATTTAGCCTCATCTGCAAATTTTTTGGCCAGAGGCTAAAGAGTAGGGTCTGTCCCGCATGTTCTCAACCCCATAGAGGGTGGATCTCACTCACAGAATAAACACATAGTGTCAGACATCTTTTTTTGGAAGCTAAGCGAACAGGCTCTTGTTCTGTGGAGAAAGCTGAGTAGTAGAGGTCACCATCCTCTTTTTCCTGGACATGTCTGGCTGTTGATGACCGGGTGCGTCTCACAGGTGTCGCTCATTGGTAATCGCGGCCCTCACTCGTCCTGCTCGCCACATAAAAATAATGAATTGTGACTGTAGAACGCAAAAAACGAATCCCGGAGATTTTGGGCGATCTCGAAACACATTTTCGGGCAGACTCATCACGGAGACTCACTAGTAGCCTAGACTTGTTGTTCAACTACTTCGCTCTGTTACCGGTAAGCGTGGCCTCCTAGGTTAGCGAAGCAAGTGCATTCTGGGAGTTGTTGTCTTTCATCCACATAAGCCAAAAATACATTTTCTGGCTTTTCTCAGTCTAGAAATTCAAAAATAATTTCACATTTCTTCTACACAAATGGCCCATTTTAAATACATTCATCTTTCCAGAGGTGAAGTATCCCTTTAAGAAAAATGTACACTGTACCTGATACATATATCCTAATCATAATCAAATCAAATCAAGAGCTTACTGTAAAAAGGAGCAAGTCATGACAACATGTTTTTTTACATTACTTTAACTTATCAAAACAAAGTTAAGCAATTTTCAACTTTTTTTAAGATATTAGCCAGGTTAATTGAATTGATTGTACTTAAAATGTCAGGCGGCAACTTTTTTTACAGTGAGAATTTGAATTGATTTGAGAAATCTGTGTCCTCTGCCCTAATAGCACCTACTGTATATCATGATGGCGAGAACACCACTCATATTAAAACCTTTACCATTGTAATGGTGTCGTATTAACTTCCTCGTCTTGTGCCCTACACAGGTTGCTACGCCAAAAGCTTTGGACCAAAAGGATTTGGATATGGCCAAGGTGCTGGGGCGCTGTCACACACTCAATAGATTCCCTACACCACAACCTTAACTATACATTCCCCATTGTGAGCATCCATAGAAGCAGCATGTGAATGTCAGTGTCTTCAAAAAGGAAACCAGCGTCAGTCGAGAAGGAAACCATTGTTCAGATGCTTCGGTCTGTTTCTTAAACAAGATGACACATTCCAAAAGACATCATGTCATTGTCTTAAACCCATAAACATCTCCTGAACACTGCCAAATGCTTGGAAGAATGTCAAGTATGTAAACACAGCATGGGATAAACACTTAATCTGCTCACCTAAGACGATCACTTGAGTTTTTAGTGGAACCTGAGCTGTGCTGTCACGTCAGTATTACTCTGCTTCGATGTGCCATCTGTTCTCTAACGCATCTGCATATCCAGTTTATAGTTGACCACACGCTTCTTTGAGCTTTAATCACTGTAAAGAATGTTCCCTTCAGCTCTGCTCAAACCATGAATGATTCACAAGCACTTCCTGGCTAAAGATGCACTAAATTTAATTTCATTGTAAGTGGAAAATATCCCACACACGCATTCTGCTCGGAAATAGAAGTAAAATATGCAAATATGCAGTTTTTGTGTCTTTTCTTATTTGTGTCCATTAAACTGAATGTAAATGTTTAAAACGGTTATAAAAATGAACGTGCCTTGCAAGGAAGCACTGCTAGTTTTGGTGTGTATTTCTTACTAGTTATTCATGGTATCTCTTGGTACCTTTTTGTAGAAGAGTGTTTTACCCGTCAACATCTGGGACACTGTCAAGTTGGCCTTTTTAAAAAAAATGCTAATTATTTAGTTATTTAGGGTATCACTCATCAGGAAAAAAAAAAAAACATCATTGGTTTTTAATAAATTATTTTGTTCACACGGATGTACACTACCATTAAAACATTTGGGGTAAGTACGTTTTTGAAAGAAGTGTATTAAAGGGTTAGTTCACCCAAAAATGAAAATTAAGTCATTAAGGACTCACCCCCATGCTGTACCAACCCCGAAAGACCTTCGTTCGTCTTCGGAACACAAATGAAGATATTTCTGATTAAATTTGAGAGCTGTATAACTACCACATTGGCTCCTAAGGGACTAGCACTTGACGGCCCAGAAAGTCAATCAAGAAAATGTTTAAATATTCCATGTGACTCAACTATAAGTTTTATAGTGGCTTTTATAGTGGCTCAACTATAAGTTTATCAAGTGACGAGAATACTTTTTGTGCGAAAAAACAAACAAAAATAACGACTTTATTCGAATAGATTTCCACAACGCATGCGCGAGAACTGAACTGAAGTAGTTGAAGGAGATCGCAATTCTCGCGCATGCGTCGTGGAAATCTAAGGAAGTCTCGTTTCAGGCCAACAAGGAAGAAAAGGAATAGTCGAATAAAGTCGTTATTTTTGTTTGTTTTTTCGCACAAAAAGTATTCGCGTCGCTTGATAAACATATAGTTGAGCCACGGTAGTCACTTGGGATATTTAAACATTTTCTTCATTGACTTTTTGGGCCGTCAAGAGCCAGTCCCTTAGGCAGTCTATGTGGTAGTGAGACAGCTCTCAAATTTAATCAAAAATATCTTCATTTGTGTTCCGAAGACGAACGAAGGTCTTACGGGGTTGGTACAGCATGGGGGTGAGTAATTAATGACTTAATTTTCATTTTTGGGTGAACTAACCCTTTAAATTGACGAAGGCTGCTAATTTGAAAACAGTCAAATATTATTACGATTTAAACTAACTGTTTTCTACACTGTAAACAATATTTTCAAGATTTGTTATCACAAGATATTTTCTTTTGTCAAATCAACTTTATAATAATTTATTTAGTTGAGATAACTTATTATTTTGAGTTTCTGATGGTTAAATTAATCTCCTTCATTGTATTAACTCACTTTTTCCAGTTCAATCAACTTAAAATGTTAAGGCAACCCAGGTTACTTACTTTTTTATGTTAATCCAACAATATTTTTTTACAGTGTAATAATCACAACATTTTTTCTTTTGTCAAATCAACTTAAATAATTTATTTAGTTCAGATAACATATAATTTTGAGTTTCTGATGGTTAAATGAATCTCCTTCATTGTATTAACTATTTTTTTCCAGTTCAATGAACTTAAAATTTTAAGGCAAACAGGTTACTTACTTTTTTAAGTTAAACTATCAATATTTTTTTTTACAGTGTATTGTAATATATTTTAAAATTTATTTTATAAATTTTAATATCCTGACATCAAAGCTGGATTTTAAGCATCATTACTCCAGTCTTCAGTGTCACATGATCCTTCAGAAATGATTTGATGATTATTTCAATGTGGAAAACTATTGAAGGGAGTTGTTGTAACTATTATACTGATTAAAGGCACCCAGGCCTTTAAGTTGATTAAAGGCCTTCTGAAGTGAAGCAATGGGTTTTTGTAAGAAAAAAATATCCAAATGTATAACTAATATCAGTTATAATCACTGTTTCCGTGATTATAATTCGGCTGAAGAGTGAACTATCCTTTTAATATAAATACGTGTCCTTATCTTTTGATTTATACTTGACTAAACATTCACGAAACATTCAACTGGTCAAATAATTATTCTCCCAAAACTCTTGTTGTCTGCCGATTCGACGGGTATCAAGGCTCTCTGCATTTGTTGCATGCGAATGGTCATTTGTAAGGTGTGTCAACATAATTTCAATAACATTTAATAGGATTAGGTTACCTAACCTAACATACAATGTCAGAAATGTACTATGAGTCACTCTCGTACTGAGTTTCACTGTGACTGAAAGAGGTACAATCTGACACTGACAGTCAGGTCACTTCATTTTGGAAAGTCCCTGATAATCCTTTAAATAGTCATAAACATGTAATTGGTTGTTGGCGCTGCTGAACGTCACTATGCCATATCTGAATGCCAGACACAATCCCTCCACATCACTGCAAACCCTGATGCTCAAAATAATTCATTGGTTTGAGTAGGACACACTTAAAATTAAACTAATTAGTTCAGTTGAATTAACTTTTAAGAGTATTTAGCACTTTCTTTTCCTTTCAAGTTCACAGAACTGATATATTTTAAGTAAACTGAACTGTTTCATTGTTTTGAGTTTCATTCACTTATTTGATTTAATTTAGACAAACTTAAGTTTAACTGAAACGGCTGGAATGTCTATTTCCCAGCATGCTTTGATATAATGTTGTGTGTGTGTGTGTGCAAGAGTAATGTAAATTGGGAGATTTAGAAGTGATTAATGTTTTGTTATGCTAATTTAGAAGAATTTCTGTTAATATTGGTTTTAGGATAGTTACCATCATGGTGACAAGTGGTGCATGTGGCTTGATTTGAGAGCGAATAAAATCGATATATGAATGGTCTCGTGCTTCTCTGTTGTTACGGCGTCCAGTCTTCCTGATTCTACCATCTCTCAACCACGAGCGCCCTCTCCTGAGTTATAGTGGGGTTGCATACTTTCCCTTTACTATGCATCATTTGCGTTATGATTACCTGTCACCTGTTCTCTATTACCAATCATCTCTAAGCCTTTATCTGCCTGATTAACTGAGCGCCCTGTGCGAAGTATTGCCTCCCTATGTGTCGTGTGCATGTCCGAGCTGTTTCTGTGATCAAGTTATCCTTTGTTTCCGACCCTCACTATTCTGACTTCTCTGATTGTCTGCAGCCTGCCTCTCGACCCTCAGCCTGATCCGGATTCTGATTCCAGCCGCCTGTCCTGAACTTTAGCCTGTCTCTGGTTCTGCTTTCTCGCCGCCTGCCTTCTACCTACTATCTGTTTCGACTCCGCTTTCAGCGTGCCCCATCAAGAATTCCTGTGTTTCCTTTATCTGTCCTTTTCAGTTATTAAACTTGTTGCAAATGGATCTGTAATGGATTACACATACACTCTAAAAAATGCTGGGTTGTTTTAACCCAACTTTGGGTCAAATATGGACTAACCCAGCCGTTGGGTTAAATTTTTACATTACATTTTTAACCCAACATTTCGGGTTTGTCCATATTTGACCCAAAATTGGGTTAAAACAACCCAGCATTTTTTAGAGTGTACTATGTTGAACATATTAACAAATTAGCATGTTAGCAAACTAGCTTGTTAGAGCTAGCTACATTAATAGGCTACTAATGAAAGTCTTTGCTTCAAGATTACACCAAAGTTTTAAGTTAAATTAGTGTTCTCAAACAATTCAAGTTAAAGAGTAACTAAACACTAAACCAACTTTTTTAGTTAATGATCTGTAAGAATGGATCTTTATTAATACCAGTCATTGATTCGAGTAACTTTTTTGACATTTGTGTATAGAGTGTTTTATGGTGTAAAAACGTCTTAGTGCTGCCCTCTTCAGGTTGAACGGTGGCTACTGGAGTTGAATTTTCCTATTGGATGTTCCGCACTTCGTGACGTACGCAGGTTTCAGCTCAACACGCGAGTTACGCCTTTGGCAGTATAAAAACCATCTTGTGTCGTCAAAACCACTGAAGCGAGTCAGGAGTTGGAATTGCGAGTATTGAAAACGATCAAAGAGTGTTTTAGCATCTATTTCGTCCCCTCTATCTCCGCTGGGGTCTGCCCACTTTTTCATCATTTTCAAATATTGCCAGTGGGTGGAGTCAGGCCCTGACCAGGGGTTTAGTTACCCTTTAAAAACAATTAAAAAGAGTACAAAATAAAATAAAAACTCTGCCACTCCCACACCAGAAACGCATGAAAGTAGCCGGAGCAACTTTTCTCTATATACAGATATAATGAGACAAGCACTGGACGCAATGTCCCATGAAAACCACCCAATCAGGTCTCAAATAAACAAATTTAAAATTAAACAAAATACAATTTAAATAAACATAAAAAAGTAGTTTTCTCCTTATATAGAAGACTTATCGAGACTTATATAGAACCTTTTGAGCATAACGGGTTCTTTAACATTGAACCCAATTGAACCTGTTCTTTTTTTCTAAGAGTACTTCTGCTCGGTTCAACTTTTAACCTGATAAAGCAGAGTGAAATTAATGACTGGGATATGCTCAAGCTGTCAAACATTACAAATAAAAACTCACAGTGTTGAGAGGGAGTAGCGTTCGTGTTCAAGCTGTCAGCATGTAATGGCCGTTGAACTGAAGGAAGGAAAAGGGCCCCTGCCAAACCTATCATTAACACACACCACCTACACACACATTCCATCTGTGAAAGACAAAGACAGGCAAATATTTACAAACCATTAATGCAGGGTTCATTCATAATCAAATCTTGCTGTAGGTGTGCATTCGTTCAAAAGCTGCTCGACATAAATCTTTAATTATTTGGACACAGAACATCTTTGTATTACGAGGTGATTATTTTAGAGCGATGACACTGATTCCAAAAGAAGACGACTAAATGTTTAATGTGTGTCATGACTCTTTTAAAACAACATGGCATGAACCCTTCCAGCTTGGTTTCAAATGTTATGAAGAAGTAAAGATTGTCCTCTGGTGGACAGAATGCAAAATGATGTCCTGCAATTTCTTAACTATGAGATTTCTCACGACCGACAGTGACTTTCAAAGATGTTCATCATTCCATTTGAAGACGACAAGATCAGATGAGTTTCGCTTCCAGCTGTTCTGAAGCATTTGAGACAAAAAATAAAGATTAATCTGTCAATTTATGTTTTGAGTCATTTTATTGTGTTCCCTTAAATTGGGATTTATTTGATCAACCAAACAATGAATACATTGACATGCCATTAATTGCGTTTGATTGTTTTAACTATGACGCAGCAAAATACTCTCAAACTCACAGTGAAAGTCATTTCAACTTAAATTACATTAAACTGACTTTAAAAAAAATTGTTGAATCTTAAACTTAAAAAACTTAAACTTAACTTAAAAAAGTAAATACAAAAAAAATGCTTACCTTATTTTGATGAGTTAAAGTAAAAACATTTGTCATAACTTATTTTTGACAGCGTATCTGTATAGGTACTTGACCTATAGGCAAAGTATTTAAATTATTTGGGAGGGCATGTTGTTAAAGTTACATCTCACATTTCACAGAGCATTCCAGCATAAATAGAAAAAAACAAACAAAAAAAAAAACAAAAAAACAAAACAAGAAAAAAACAAACCACAAAAATTTTTTAACAGACCTTAAAGGTAGGGTTGTGTGTCCATTCAAAGATTTGGGGGTGTTTAAAAATCGCAAGTGTACTGAAAGCTATGGAAGAATTTAGTCTTAGTTATTAAATGGAATAAGTTTGACGTTTTAACAAGAGTGAAGACTTACCCTTTGCCTTGTATTAGTTCACTGAATTTTTAAGTACAATGAACTTGGATGTTTAAGTCATTTCATCTTAAATTACATTCAACTTAAAATTAAAAATGAATTTTATCTTGTATAGGCCTGACAAAAAGTTGAAAATTGCATAACTTCTTTTGATGAGTAAAAACAATGTAAAAACATATGTAGTCATAACTTATTGATCATATAATTTGTTTTTACAGTGTATTTGATGTGTAATTTTCATAAGAAACTATAAAAGTTCGCTGTAAAAAACTATTTTAATAATTTGTAATCACAACATTTTTTTTCTTTTGTCAAATCAACTTTATGTTTATGTAATTCAGATAACTTATGTAGTTCAGATAACATAATATTTTGAGTTTCTGATGATTAAATCAATCTCCTTCATTGCATTAACTCAATTTTTCCATTTCAATGAGCTTACATTTTTTAAGTTAAACCAACAATATTTTTTTACAGTGTTGATATATATATATATATATATATATATGAAGAGTTCAGATGCAAAAGCCTCTAAGTGCCATTTGAAATTATCTTCTAGAATAATCATTTTTATCAAGCTTGTATATTTAAATTCAGTAATTTCACTTAAATGGCAATTCATAGGTAATCTTCATTGCCATTAAGTGAAATTACTTAAATTTACACACTTAAACTTAAATATACAAGCTTGATAAAAAATTAACATTCTCTAAGAAAAATTCAAATTTTTTATAGGCATTTAGAGGCTTTTGCATCTGAACTCTTCATATATATATATATATATATATATATATATATATATATATATATATATATATATATATATATATATATATATATATATATATATATACATATATATATATTAGGGCTGTCAAACGATTAATCACGATTAATCTCATCAGACAGCTATAAACTATATTCAGACATAGACATAGACAGCTATATTCTCCTATAGGACAATGAAAATTGTTATCATCAAACTCTCATTTCAAATTCTAAAATAGCCTATATTAGTTATTATTTTGTGTTGTATTAGGATGATATCAGACAACTACCATTAGAATTCTTTGGTTCTAAATTATGACGGAATTTCCAACATGGAATCGCTTTGAAATGATTTTCGACTTGAGCCAGATGTCAGGACATGAATGGACGTACAAGCTAATGTTTATCAGGCGGCAGCAGAAGCATTCCAGAGTGCAGTTAAAGTAGGACTAATCCCCGTGACGTCACGACGAGGTGGGGGGGAAGAGTCCTTCAGAAACACGAGAAGAGTCGCTTTCAGAGGAGCAAGTACCAACATGCCCAGATTGCGGGACTTCCAAGCAGATTGTAACAATATATAAAAGTCGGAAATTGATCTTTAGCCACAGAGCTGTCTGGCGGCAATGCAGCGACGATGCGTTATTACATTCAAGAACGGGCTCTTCTGCAGAAACGTGTAAAGTTGAGCTAAACGATTAAATGAAGGCGTTTTATACTGTGTTTAGTGGGCGCACAGCGGTTTTGCGCGTTTGCGTGCAACGTTCGCTCGTTAACGCTAAGCGAAAACACCAGTGAACGCTTCGCCGATTCTGATTAACGTTTAATTTTGGGTTTCACACCAACCTTTATTCAGAATGAGCCAGTGTAAAGTCATGAAGGATGGTTATCTGGAGAAGAGGAGTAATGGACTTCTGCAGCTGTGGAAGAAGAAGCGTTGCGTTCTGTCAGAGGAAGGACTCCGTCTGTACGACAGTAAAGGCGAGAGCAGCAAAGAGATGCGTTTCGAGCTGATGACCACGCTGGACTGTGTGGAGTACAAACGGGGTCTGGTCTACTTCACCATCGTGATGAACGGCGGGAAGGAGATTGACTTCAGGTGCCAGCAGGAGGGAACGGCGTGGAACGCGGAGATCGCGCTCGCGCTGGTGCGCTTCAAAAACCGCGTCGCCGTTCAGACCGGCAGGAACAGGCATTTGTCACATCTGGGCAGCTGCGGGGAGGGAGACGTCGAGCTTTGAGGGTAAAGACAACTGCTTTTGATGTTGAGCAGCATGTATTTTGGAAGGGTTGGTTGTGTGTCCTTTCGCGTGTTCTCTCGGGAAACAATTATCCAGAATAGCATCTGCTTTTCATTTACTGGATTGAGCTCTATGAAACACAGACACGCTTTTGTGTTCAATTATTCGTCCACAGTTCTGAGAGGCTTTACCGCATGAAATGCTGCCTGGGGTCCCGAAGGATTCCCAATTCTATTTTAGAACCAATTCTAAAGGATTCTATGGGGAATTTGCTTAGAATTAAGCGACAAAACAAAAGCGGTATCTTTTAGAACGCATAGTTCCAAATACAACTATCCAGTTGGTATAAAGCTCATGTGGAACATCAGAAAGAACTTCAGTAAATCCCAAATGATTGTCACTAGCAAGTCATTAATCAGTTTACTAAAGAGTTTCAGAAGCATCGAAATAGCAACATCCTTTTGGGATTTTTACATTATTCAATAGGATGTTTTAAAATTCTTATTTGATCAATCTGTTACATTTGGTTCCACATGTTAATATAAAAAAATCCACTAGGAAATTTGTTCACTGTTTTTCATTATAAAGGCATTGCTTGACCAGCTCGCATTCATAAAGAAAAAGCAGCTAAAATCATTCATGATTTGTAATCACAACATTTTTTTTTTCTTTTGTCAAATCAACTTAGATCATTTATGTAGTTCAGATAACATAATATTTTGAGTTTCTGGTGATTAAATTAATCTCCTTCGTTGTATTAACTAAATTTTTCCATTTCAATGAACTTAAAATTTTAAGGCAACCAGGTCACTTGTTTTTTTTTTTAAGTTAAACCAACAATATTATTTTTTAAGTTGGATAAGTGTGGATAAAGCTACGAAACAGTGGAATCACTTCAGATATTACAATATGGATATTGTTGTTAAAATGATATGATCAACTATGACAAAATGTTTTTACGTTGCTTTATCTAAGTTACACAAGATTCAACTCAGTTTAATGTCATTTAAGTTGAAATGACTTAAACATCCGAGTTGATTGCACTTAAATACATTAGCAACTTTTTTTTTTTTTTACCGTGTGTAATTTAATTGCACTCAAGCATTAGAAATCCACTTAAATGGGCTTGTGAGAATTTGATTTTATGCCATGCCCAACATTTGAAGAGATGAAGAATAAAAGACTCTATAGTCTGATTTTACTGAATCCATCTGTAACAATTTCCACAACTCACTAATGCAGTGTTACCATTGTATTCCCAGCCCAAACACAGCACTGGATCCAGAAGAGAAAGAGAGACTGTGGACAAGAAAATGAAGGCCCATTGTTAAGGAAACACCGGATGAAAGGCTTATTCTGAACTCGTATATATCTTTTGTACTTCCACCTTTTTTCACAGTGACACCTTTCGGCACAGTGGACGGATTTCTGGATGTTTTCGAAAAAGATTTCATGCACTTTCACTGCATTAGTCAACAAGGAAAAGCGAGACTCAATGGTTTGCTCTTCACCACAATTCAACGCTTCACTCCTCACAGTGCCAGAGTGGATTTCGGTGGCGACTTTACACTTTTGAGAGACGTTCTGACCTCGCGTGACATGGAGGACTCACACTCAGTATTATAACTGAAAGCATGATGCTGCTTCAGGAGACATTAGCCATAGATGAAGTATGACTCACAACTGCACTCTTTAACATTTCAGAAGTATTTGAACAAGGGATCTGGATTCGTTCCCTCGCAAAGGTTCTTCAATCGCACGGCAGACTGCTTTCCCTTGGAATGCATCCCGACTGCATGGAAAACTTGATGGATGTGTTTTTATTTTGTTTTCCATTGGGCAATGCTGTTATTGCCACAATTTTCTGCGTATTCTTACCCAGAGCGCTTGCCAAAGTTAAAAATAGTCGTCTCTGTGATGGTTTAAGAAGATTAAAAAGGAAGTGTTTAATTTTTGTTTAACAAAGCTCGTTATCTCATTACGTACACATTGTGCAAATAAAAAAGAAAAAGAAAAACAGGATTTTTTTATGGCTTTGTAATCTGAATTATTTAATTGCTTTGTTGAGGCCCAAGGCAACAGTATAGGGAGTTTATAGCAAATTAGACGCAGTATTGTAGGCGAGTCTCAGTCTCTTCAACCTCAAGTGCCTGTGCGGCACATGCCCGGACAATGGCCTCACTGACTAATACTGTCCCGCCTTGCCTGCTTTCCTGTCAGTTTCACTGAGAGGCCGTCAAAGAAGTTGTCAAACAGGGCTTTTTCGTCAGGATGAATGTGTTTTGCTGTTGCGCAGGAACCTGTGGAAGTTAAAGGAGAAGTTCACTTCTGATCATTTACTCACCCTCATGTCATCCGAGATGTCCACGTCTTTCTTTCTTCAGTCGAAAAGAAATGAAGGTTTTTGATTAAAAACATTCCAGGATTTTCTCCATATAATGCACTTCAATGGGAACCAAACGGTTCAAGCTCCAAATGAGAGTTTCAGTGCAGCTTCAAAGGGCTTTAAACGACACCAGACGATGAATAAGAGTCTTATATAGGACCCTTCGAGTCATGACTCGAAAAAAGATTTGTTCATTTTGATGAACGATTTTGAACAGAAGAGTCACGAACGCTCATCACAGAACAGAGCAAGGCGAGCATTTGAGCTTAAAACGTAAACTTTTTTATATAGTTATTAAATGAGCGATCGTTTCGCTTGATAAAACCCTTATTCATCGTCTGGTGTCGTTTAAAGCCCTTTGAAGCTGCACTGAAACTCTCATTTGGACCTTGAACCGTTTGGTTCCCATTGTAGTCCATTATATGCTGAAAATCCTGGAATGTTTTCATCAAAAACCTTAATTTCTTTTCGACTGAAGAAAGAAAGACATGGACATCTTGGATGACATGGGGGTGAGTAAATTATCAGCAAAAGTTTTTTTTAAAAGTGAACTACTCCTTTAAGTGCTACACTCCTGCATTAACAGAACCAGGTGTGAAGGGAAGTAAAGGATTAATCTGAAACATGCCACGACCAGTTTGTTATCATAGCATGATAAATGGCGACAGACAATGAAAGATCTGTTCACTGAGAATCTGATGGTCTCACATGGAGAGGTCAGTTTGTGTCGGGCAGAAATCTTCACATATGGTTCATAAGGGGTCACAACCCAATAACGGCGTTAAAAGCAGAGCTAAATACAAACAACCATATAATATTAGTGTAAAGGTTCATTCGAAAGTATTGTAAACGACAAAGGAATATGACATAAGGTTTGATTAAAATAATGAGTCGAGTGTCGAACATGTTTATATTTTTGTTGTTTCTATGCAATTTTTGCGACTGTTACAAGTCTGTTATGATGGCCATGAGTCACAAAACAAGTAAAACGATTTACAACATCAACAAATCATGTTTATTTTCATGTTAAATCTTCATATTAAAGACTAATTTAGGGGATTTTGAGTTATGACAAGTTATATTACAATAAATATGTATATATTCATTAGGGATGCACCGATATGAACATTTTGGCTGATACCGATTACGATAATTTTTTATATTTGAAAGCCGATAACCGATATATCGGCCGATAAGTCTAAATCAATTTTTTTTTTTGTTTAATTTTTGGAAGCCTGCAAAAACAAAAGTCTCACAATTAAAATCTGTTCCCTTACACAATTATAATGTTCTCATTATAATTTCATGTAGCTGATATGACAGCACATTTTGCACTTGACTATATTTTCCTTTTTGATTCCAATCATATTTCAAGCAATTAAGATCAAACATGTTGAACAGTGCACATCTTAAGTGTCTCAGGTGTCAAGTGTTGAAGGAAATAATTCATTATTTATCAGCTTTAATATATCTGCCAAATTTTATTATCGGGCCGATAATGATAACATCAACATGAACAAATATCGGCCGATACCGATATGGTGGCCGATTGTGACGATCAGCAGCCGTGGTGCCCTCGAGAGCCACTAGAGGGCATCCTCTCCCCATGTTTGTTTCCCCATGGACTCTTTGTGTTTCATTATGTTCAGCTGTGTTTCTTTATTGGTTATTGAGTTCCTTATTTAAGCCTGAGTTTTCCCTGTGTCCCTTGCGAAGTCTTGTTACCCTGTAAGCGTACAATTCCGAGCGTTATTCCCTGTTCTGTGTCTCCGTGTTTCCCTGGACTCTTGACCCTTGCCTGTTTCCTGGACTGCTCTCGAACCTGTGCTGCCTGCCTCGACCATTGCCTGTTTAGACCACGAGTTTCTGGATTGCCCCTTTGATTAAGTGTTTGCCTGTGTTCATGTCTGCTTGCTTTAATAAAGTGCTGCACATGGATCCGACCGTCTCTGTCCGTACGTTACACCGATATATCGCGTATCCCTAATATTCATGTATATTTCATGTGCTGTACGCATATTTATAAACTTACAGTTGCATTTTTTATTTATATTTTAATTATATCATTTATTTTTTACGCACATGGTCATACACTGCCAGAACTAATACTTATATCGAACACGAAGATGCATTAATAAATGCTTTTGTTAAAATTTATATTTATCAAAGAATCCTGAAAAAAAATGCTGTCAAAAAGTGCTGTCAAGTCAATTAATTGCGATTAATCACATCTAACATAAAAGTTTGTTAATGTATCCATATTTATGTGTGTGTGTGTGTGTGTATTAGTGCTGTCAAATTGATTAATTGCGATTAATTGCATCTAAGATAAAATGTTGTCGATATATAATGTGTGTGTACATATATATATATATATATATATATATATATATATACGCCTATAACAAACTTTTGTTAGATGTGATTATTTTTGACAATTTCAATTCAATCAATTTGACAGCACTAATATACATATTATATATTATATTATTGTATATATTATTATAATATGTATATTAGTGCTGTATATATATTATTGTATATATTATTATATTGTATATATTATTATAATATGTATGTTGTTACAATGCTGTTTACAGTAGGGGTGGGCGGCTGCTGACCTCAACTGGGGATGTCGTCGGGCGGTGGAAGGAATACTTCGAGGATCTCCTCAATCCCGCCGCCACGTCTTCCATTGAGGAAGCAGAGGCTGAGGGCTCAGAGGTGGACTCGTCCATCACCCTAGCTGAGGTCACCGAGGTAGTCAAGAAACTCCTCTGTGGCAAGGCACCAGGGGTGGATGAGATCCGCCCTGAATACCTCAAGTCTCTGGATGTTGTGGGGCTGTCTTGGTTGACACGCCTCTGCAGCATCGCGTGGCGGTCGGGGACAGTGCCTCTGGGATGGCAGACCGGGGTGGTGGTTCCTCTTTTTAAGAAGGGGGACCGGAGGGTGTGTTCCAACTACAGGGGGATCACACTTCTCAGCCTCCCTGGGAAAGTCTATGCCAGGGTACTGAAAAGGAGAATACGGCCGATAGTGGAACCTCGGATTCAGGAGGAACAGTGTGGTTTTCGTCCGGGCCGTGGAACACTGGACCAGCTCTATACTCTCTACAGGGTGCTGGAGGGTTCATGGGAGTTTGCCCAACCAGTCCACATGTGTTTTGTGGATTTGGAGAGGGCATTCGACTGTGTCCCCCGAGGCGGCCTGTGGAGGGTGCTCCGGGAATATGGGGTCCGGGGTCCTTTGCTAAGGGCTGTCCGGTCCCTGTATGACCGAAGCAGGAGCTTGGTTCACATTGCCGGTAATAAGTCAGACTTCCCAGTGCATGTTGGACTCCGGCAGGGCTGCCCTTTGTCGCCGGTTCTGTTCATAATTTTTATGGACGGAATTTCTAGGCGCAGCCAGGGGCCGGAGGGTGTCAGGTTTGGGGACCGCATGATTTCGTCTCTGCTTTTTGCGGATGATGTTGTCGTGTTGGCCCCTTCACACCTTGACCTTCAGCATGCACTGGCGAGGTTTGCAGCCGAGTGTGAAGCGGCTGGGATGAGAATCAGCACCTCCAAATCCGAGGCCATGGCCCTCAGTCGGAAAAGGGTGGCTTGCTCACTTCAGGTTGGTGGAGAAATCATTCCTCAAGTGGAGGAGTTTAAGTATCTTGGGGTTTTGTTCACGAGTGAGGGAAGGATGGAACGGGAGATTGACAGACGGATCGGTGCAGCTTCTGCAGCAATACGGTCGATGTACCGGTCTGTTGTGGTGAAGAAGGAGCTGAGCCGTAAGGCAAAGCTCTCGATTTACCGGTCAATCTACGTTCCTACTCTCACCTATGGTCATGAGCTTTGGGTCATGACCGAAAGGACAAGATCCCGGATACAGGCGGCCGAAATGAGCTTTCTCCGCAGGGTGGCTGGGAGATCCCTTAGAGATAGGGTGAGAAGCTCAGTCACTCGGGAGGAGCTCAGAGTAGAGCCGCTGCTCCTTCACATCGAGAGGGGTCAGCTGAGGTGGCTCGGACATTTGTTCCGGATGCCTCCTGGACGCCTCCCTGGGGAGGTGTTCCGGGCACGTCCCACTGGGCGGAGGCCCCGGGGAAGACCTAGGACACGCTGGAAAGACTATGTCTCCCGGCTGGCCTGGGAACGCCTCGGTGTCCCCCCAGAAGAGCTAGAGAGGGAGAGGGAAGTCTAGGGAGAGGGAAGTCTGGGCATCTCTGCTTAGACTGCTGCCCCCGCGACCCGGCCCCGGATGAAACGGAAGAAGATGTATGTATGTATGTATGTATGTAATATACATATTCTGTTTTGCATATTTATATGCCTATAAACACACATACATGTATTTACAAACTTTTATGTTAGATGCGATTAATCACGATTTATTGATATAATAGCACTAAATATAAATATACACCCTAAAATGCCGAGTTGTTTTAACCCAATTTTGGGTCAAATATGGACAAACTCAAACATTGGGTTAAAAATGTACAGTAATTTAAAAATGGAACCCAATGGCTGGATTTGTCCATATTTGACCCAAAATTGGGTTAAAACAACCCAGCATTTTTTAGAGTGGTTCTCAAGTGAAGTGAACTTCTACTTCTACTATGTTCCCTACTGAGTGTGTAG